ATGACTTGGTGCAATGTTGTATTCTTGAAATTGCCAGCATATGAAGGTGGGATGAGCTTTTTCCCAACAAACACATTCTTCTAGGTCCTTAGAGTTCACTGTGTGCACATATGTGAGGAAAATGATCTTTGATTTGTCTGTGCTGACCATCTCAGTACTATCTTGTATTTAAAACAGATCTGATGTGTCCCTTTGGAGCTCAGTTGTTCCAGCTGTAGGTTCCTAATGCACACCTGAATAAGCACACTGCACACAGAGCAATTTCACTTTCTTGTTAGCATTCCAGAGGAGGAGTGTCTCTTCCCTCTCCCCTCCCATTCATTCAGTTGTCTAATCAAAGTACACAGTTCATATCATCCAAGTGAAGCATTTATCTCCCTCTCCATGCTTCCAGAGCCTCTGAACATACAGCATTCAATTCCACTCTATGAATGTAGCACCTCTGGGATTGTCCAGAAAGCATGAGAGCTTTAAGGTTACCCAGGCTAGTTCTGAGCAAGCTGGCCAAGTACCAAGAGATACAAATTTGTGCAGCATAAGGCTTCTCCTTGGCTAATATATCTTGCTTTCATGATTCAATACAACCATGGCAATATAGATTTTGGAACCTAAGATAACTCATCTGCTTATAGCTTAGCTATTGCTACATTTTCTTTATCTGTAGAAGAAATCCTTGGTTTCCTTTCTATCCAAGTGTATTTTTGTAATACAAAAAGGAGATTGTTTTTTTGTAGTGTTGTGATATATGATACAATAAGCCATAAGCTAATGAATTACTAATCAATTGAACAGATATTTCTTTCCAGAGGTGATTTTCTTCAGAAGTATTTTTTACTTTTTAGGGTTTGCTGACTTCAGTGTTGAGCATTTTGCACACTATGTGCATTCAAAATGTGGAAATTTAGTGCATGAGAGTAATTTAATGAACTTGTAGTTTCTTCTAAACCCCAGCTAAGATTGACATTAATTAATTATAATAATTAATTTATTTAATTAACTAAATTAATTCTCATCTATCTTTCATGGCTAACATGATTTGAAAGAATTAGACAAAACTGTTTTAGAAGATCATTAACTCTTCAAGGATACTTCACAGCATGTGTGATTCTACACCTTATATCACTCATTACTCAGCATCGTCTGAAGCTTTCTAATATTACTCAATCCAGTGTTAATCCAAATGAATACCTCACTAACTGTTATTTAATGCATCCCCAGAAATACTGCTCAGCAACAAAATAACTTAGAAATCATGACTTGTAAGCAGTAAAACATTTGCTTTCATGATCCAAAGGCAAAAAAGAAATACTATCAGAGTGAAAGTGCACTGGTAGTAATCACAGTACATCACAGTATCATTATGCATGTCTTAGATATGACCTAAAAGGACAATATATCTCCAAGAAAGTAAATGCCTGTAATACACATATTAGCAAAAACTATTTGGGGTAGTATTATGTGTAGTATTGACTACTGGTATTGACTACTGGGAAAAACTTATACAAAAGGCAGAAATTATTTAGTCCTATATTGAAAGTGTATGGGGTAGTTTTTTGTAGCCTTATTTCTACTTTGTCTATCAGGCCAAAGCTGGATACACCCCAGCACCTCAGTGTGTTTGTCGGAGTTCAGAACGGAGCACAGGACTCGAGGTGTGTGCTCAGCAGTGCTGTGTAAGGGCACAGCTCAAATGGCTTCCCAAACCTGTCCCTGTGCCTGAGCAATGCTCTCGGTAGCTGTGTGCATGTGTGTGCATGCTCCCCAAACCGAACCCCCGTTCTGGAATGCAAACACAGGAACAGCGGCTGTTCAACAGGATACAGGCAGATTGACTACTCCATGAAGAAGAATTACATAGGTTTAGTTTTCATTTAAACAAAATGAAGAATCATATTTCCTTGCTTTATTTTTTACAGTATAAGGGTAAAATCCTGGTTTTTATCATGTCTCCTATACATGATAAATGATATAGAATAAATATCTCAGCTTTTTATTGTATTTAGCTATGCATCAGAAAAGTAATTTAAAAAGAAAAACACCTTTCAATTCCATAATCTATTTGACACCTATTTTGCACAATACTATTCAATACAACTATAGTGTGACACAGTATGATTTTCAATTACAAAACCACATTAGGAGTGCATTCAGGTTGCATCCTTAAATCACAAAATGTCACTATAACCTGTTACGTGTTAAGAAATTTAAAAAGACCTTGTAAGCAGACCTTTACAATACAAAAAATATTCTAAGGTTCCTGTGGTCTATTTAACACTTAAAAAGCTTTCACCTTATGCAATAATGGGCATACCTCTTTGAAAATGAACTGTCCACTATATTTCTACAGCATATTTCATTCAAAAATATTTGTATTCACATTTCTGGTAACCTCTTGAACAGAGAAGGGCAACCAGAAGTACTGAAGGCATCTAGGACAACTTCTGACTTTCATGAAAAATGCCATGGGATATGGCTGCTTTTTTAGAATGGGCAAGGCTTTGTTTTTAGTAATTTAACTTGTATAAAAATCCCATAGTTAGTAATATACCTGGAACTTCATGTCTCTAAGACAGAACTTCTCCTTCAAATATCAGTTGCCATTAGCAGTTCTCACTACCTGCAAAATTTGAAGGTTATGCTAACAGTAATCAGAAGTGGGTATTAATCTGCAAACATTTATACTAAATATACAATAGCACTGAGTACATTCACCAAGTGTGGTGGGTGGCAGCTTGCCACATGGATTAATGCCTCCAGATAAATGATTGTTTTACCTGTAACCATGGACAAAAGGTGACATTATTGCAACAGTGTAATTAATAACCTACCACTTCATTAATTGTTATAATGCTATTTTCATGGATCAGCTTGAAAAATCTAGTGAACTTCAAAGGTTTTGTTGTGTTTTTTTTCCTTTGACTATTCAGAAGAAGAGACAATAGTGTGTTAACTTGGTATTCTCTGATGCAGCCTTCTGTTTATTGTGTATGAGTTATGATTGATTTGTATGAACAATGTCTTCAGCTCAAGACAAAGTTGGAAACTTTATAAAAATAGAAAAATTTTAAAAATAGCATTTGATTCTGTCAACATCTTTTGAAACTCGAACACAGAACTGATTTTCTGTTGATAAAGAAACAAAGTGCCATAGGACAGAATCTATCTCTAAAAAGCTGAGAGCCCAAAGAGAAATGGTATCTACTACCTCAAAACCCAAGTATTTTAAGTCTAGTTATTGTAAAACTGCCACTGCAGAACATGGCCTGCAGGCACTCAAGTTTAGAGCCCACAGTGTTTCTAGTGATCAGAATTTCAGATGTGTTTAGTTAACAACTGAGATAAGAGTAAGACATGTGGTAGTGTAAGACAATAAGCGTAACCTCTCCCCTCTTGAAGTGAGATTGGCATTATTCAGTGAACTTCCTTTTTAGGTAATCCCCCAGGCTCTATTGGAAACCGTCACCACTAATAATTTTTTTTTAATGTTATTTCCCTAATGTCACTTTTCTGCCTGGCATTGCTGAGTTTCTATTATGAGCACACATGAGCTATTCAATAGATTGCAATCTTTGTGGCATCAATACTTGCCAAAAGAATTAGACTATAGCATATATTGGTTTCCAAATGAGATTACAAAGGGAGTGGTACAACACCTCCTTATTTATTGGTGACATGACACCAACACGTGTAATTATTCTAAGTAATACACAATCAGCTACAGGGTCTTCAGCTGAAACATCATTATACTGTTCAATCATCTCACCTTTGCAGCATGGGAGTTTCATTAGTTTAGAAGATGCTGTCACATAATGGTTTTGCCCAAGAAGTAGCTGGTTGGAAGCAGAGAATTCTTTTGTACTTAAACTAATGCTACAAACTGAATGCAGAAAGTGCCCTGATTGCAGGAACAGTCAACATGTAAAAGAATTTATCAACCTTCATCTTAACCTAGGAATAGCCAAACAATTTGAGGAGTGTGGGAATAGAAAGTGGACTGTCAAAAGAGAAAAGGGTCCAAAACTTACATAAGGTCCTCAGTGAAATTGTTCCTGAGAGTCTTGATGGATCAATTCATTGAACACTGCCACACTGAAAACTGGACCACAGAAAATGCATCTGACTCACCAGTGATTAATTTTTTGGTTTAAGAAACATACACATTAATAGGGTGTGCCTGATAATGGCATGTGGTTATTCTGGGTGTGAATAACCTCTAGAGTCTGTCAAAACAGCTGGCTTCAGGGTTAGTCTCCAGAGAAAAAGCAGAAGAAAATCTTTACTGAAGAAGCACACTGCAGATGAGAACGGCATATGAAGGGAGAAGCAAAGTTATTAAAGTTACACTATCTCTACAATGCTGTATACAGTATTACACTAGCTGTGAAGAATATTAACATCAAATGGTCAATTATATTCATTTTTCCAGATATATAATCTTAGAACTAGTCAGACAAAGGACTTGAATGCAACATTGTAATTTTTTTCCTACTGAGGAAAAAAGGTATAAATGCTTTGACGCTGGCAATTTTTCAACTTTGGTTAAACACTGGGCAAAATATTACCTGTATAAAAAGTTGCATGTACTGGCCAATGCCATCTGGTCCCACAGCACAGCAGGAATGGCGCTCTGTGCTGACACAGGTATACAGCGCGTTAGGGCCCGATCTGCTCCGCTGGTGCTGCACAGAAAAGCTGAGGTGCTGAGCTGCTCAGCGAGCAAACTTCAGATCAGCCCGAATTCACTCCCGGCCGCGGGAGCCAAACACCCGTGACACGGTGGGGCTCAGCCGGGTCCCGGGCAGCGGGCACAGGGAGCGCAGCCCCGGTGCCCGGGCAGAGCCGGTTTGATTCCCGGCCCCGGGCTCAGCGCCTGGCTCTCCCCACCTGTGGGGATTTCGCCTCGCGCCCTGGTGGCTGGAATGGGAAAGGGCTGAGCCCGAGGCGGCCGCCGGGACGTTTCGCTCGGGGAGAGGAAAATTCCAGCCGAGAGGAGCGGCCCTGCCCCCGCTGGCCGCTGACAGCCCGCGGCCGAGGCCGAGCGGAGTCCCCACTCCGGCCGCAGCTGGAGGGACAGCCGGGTGTGTGGGGACAGCCGCGTGTGTGGGGGCGGGAGGGAGGCGCTGGGACGGGAACAGGGAATCTCTGTCTCCGTGCGTGCCGGAGCAGGGAAGGTTCTGCATTTCAAGTTTCTCGCCGCGAAGTTTTTTTTTTTTTTTTTTTTCCTTGCTTCTGTGTTTTTTTCTCCTACGCCCAAGGTGTGGTTCCGCGATCTGCAGGAGCCTGGCGCAGGCCGTGACCGCGGCTGCCGCCCCGGGCAGGCGCCCCGTGTCCGCGCTGTAAACAGCGGGAAATGCCCGGGCTCGGGGGCGAGGCGGTGCTGGGGGCTGCGGAGCGGGTCCGCCCTCCTCAGCCCGCCCCGAGCAGGTGAGGCGGGGAGCCGGGCAGTGCGGGCGGGTCCCCGGCTTGCGCCCGCCCTGCGCTGCCTTGGCCGCCGGTATGGACGGGCGCGCTCGGCCGGCGGCCGCCCCGCCGCCCTCCGGGTAAGCACAGCTCACGGCGCGGGCGGGAGCGCGGCCGCCCCCGGCTCCGAAGGGACATCCGGGGCCGTGCGCGGGGCTGGGTGAGGTGAGGTGAGAGCGAGGGGGCAGCTCGGGTCGGGGAGGCCGGGGCTGAGCGCGTCCGGCTGCGAGGTGCGTTGCTTGGGACGCAGCCAGCGGCGGGAGGCGGCTCCCAGCGCCGGGGGCGGGCGTGCTCCCGGTGCCCCTGCCCGGGGCTGCTGCGGCGGCGGGAGGCGGAAGCCCGCGGGCAGATGGAGCGGCGCGGCCGTTAAACGGCTGCCCCGACGGCACCGCTGCTGCTGCCGGCGGGGGCTGCGGGACCTGCCCGTCCGGCCGTGCCCCGCCGAGCAGCGGCTGCAGCGCCGGCCCCGCGCCGCGGGCACTGCCCGCAAGGACGAGCCGCAGCCTGCCCGCCGGCGTTGCCGTCCCGGTGCCTCTGCAGGGCTGCGGGACCTGCCGGGATCGGCGCCTCTGGCAAATCACTGCAGGTCAGCACTTGCCGGTTGGAGCATCCTTAGGTGTGCGGAGTCAACTTGCAGCTCTCTGGGTGAGAGTGGCGGCGCTTTGGGAGGGCTGCGCCCTCCTCGGTGCTCTGGGAACTGCGGACGCTGGGGAAAAGAAAATAAACAAGTAGCATCTGTTTGGAGTAGTAAAAGGGCTGGGTTGTTTCTTTTTACGTGTTAGGCCCCTCTGGTTTAATTTTGCTTGTAGTAGAAAAGCTAACGTTAAAGAAAATATTTTTTAAATCCTAAGTAAAACCACCCCAGTTATAGATCGGGAGGAGGATATTTCCTTAACTAGTCAGGTACGTTTGAAGAAAATTAGTTTCACTGGGAACTGGAGTGGATCAAAACACTGGTAAGACTGCTGAAGTTATCTGTAAATAGAATGGACAAAATACATGGTGGGTGTATTTTATAACATGAACGTTTTTGTGAAGCTTCCATACTATTTGCAAAAATGGATTACTTGGGTTGCTGACCAAGCGGCTACAGGATAAACAGGTGTAGATGATGGAAATTTACTGTAGTATTTGCAGCAGTAATCAAATCATTGTGAAGCCATGGCTGTAGTGAATATGGAAGATTCATAAATGATATTTATTCACTTAAGGCCTTGTCACCATTCCACATTTATATGTAGCTGTTGAGAAATTGACTTTATATTGTTAATCAGTGTCGAAGGTATAATTACAGTGTAGATAATTACTGCATTTTAAAGACTCTAAGTACTTCAGCAGAGTTGGAAGGACTGAGAGTAGGATAATAGGTTTCTTTTCCAGGTTAGGGAGTGGCAAAAACAGTTTGTGTTGAAAGTCTTCAGCTTTACTTGGGAGCAAGTGAACCTAAAAACAAGCAAAAAGACACAATTAAAACTTTGGCTGTTCTGACATTTCCTCTAGGCCTGTTGCCTGCTATAAAGCTGTTTGGTATAGTGAATTTTGGCTGCTGCTTGACAACTAAGTTCCCTTTATGTGACTTCAAACATCTGCCAGCATCCACTTCTCAGTTTTGAGATACATGTAGCTAATAGTACTGCTCATTGCATTAGCCCTGCAGAGAGATTTTCAGGACTTTTATCAGCTGTTCACATATAATTTAGTACTTAGAAAATCAAATTGCCATGCCTTTCTTGCTACAAAAGTTCTTCATTGACAGTCTTAACTATTTCTGTAAGATGGTCTCATTTGCTCGTGAAATGCTGGATTTGAGGAAAAAATGTGGATGTACCAGAAAAGAAGACAACTCCCAGTTTTACTGAAAATAGTCCACAGATACATTTTTGAATAGTATGCAGTTACTGTTCCCTCTCTGTGATGATAGGAAAATTTGTGCAATCTGGGAAGAATTTCAGTTAAAATAGCATTTTTCTTTAAAAGTATGACTAAATGATGTAATATACTGCATTACATCTCTTCTTTCCTTGTTTAGCCAGGTTGAAAATGTTGTTAATCTGCAGCTGAAAACTTTTCCAGCCAATGTGTTCTTAAATCACTGTTTGAAGTTTTGTGGGGTAATTGCTGGTAACTCTAAGCAGCTGAGAAAGTTTGTTTATGCTAAACTGCTAAGACGGTGGTGTTTTGTAAATTTCAAGCACTGATGTTAGTTAAAGCTTGGAACTCCTATATAACTTGATCACTGGTGGCTCTTTAATACAGAATTTTGTTATCACATCTATGGGGACAAGCTTTGGAAAAGGATCCTGTTGTATATTTTTTTTTTTTTTGCGTGCAGGATTATGCTTTCCCATTGAAAAATTATTTATTAAAACCAGTTGTGGACAATAATATTTGTCTGAATTTGTTGAGAAACATGCCCATGTTATTCTCTCTGTACATTCAGGGTAAAAAAGAAAAGATTTTTTTAAAAAATGGCCTTTCCTGGATTTTGTTTGTTTTTTGGTTTATAATACAGTGAATAGAGACTGTGCCCAGCAACTGGCTGGAGTATTTTGGAATATGATGAATAGGAGGTGTGTCCAGTAAGTGGCTAGCCATGACACGCAGTTTCTTCTGCTGGCAGGAGAAGCTTGGCTGGGCAGTTTGGGAGTTTTATAGCTCATCTATCTTAGCCTGAGTCTGAGCAGCACTCCGGGCACAGAGCTCCCGCCAGGCCAGTTGACAAAGTCTGCTCCTGTTCATCGCAGAGCTGAATTTGCTTTATGAAATAATTGGAAAATGTGATTTAATACTTATAAATAAAAAAAGGACTGGCTGTAGTTGGTATCCTACCTTCTGAACACAATTTTCCTACTGTTGCTGGACAGCAGTCCCGTAACCTGGAGTAAATACTTTTTTTTATTACAAGTAGATATCACTATTTGACACAGGATTTTACCCTGAAGAATTGTATTATGGCTTAATATGCCATTGGAATATTGGAGCAAATGTGAATTTTGGTAAATGTGATATTGATATCCTTTGTAATACTAGCCTTCCTGTTGGGATCCACCTTTAATTCAATTGTAATGTTTCTAAGAATTTTGTGTTATTTCATTTGTTCCCGTATTTAAAGCTGTATGCTTACATGCAAAATAACAGCTTCTGACCTGCTTTACCCAAGGAAACCAACCCCCTTTGTCTTTATCATTGTCATTGTGTGTCTTACAAAAACATGCTTAGGAGATGGAGCTGCTCTCCAGGGCTGAAGATGGAGCAGGTTGTGTGGGGAAAGGGATGGGGCCAAGCAGCTTTGGTTGTCTTAGTGCCAGCATCGCTTCTCCTGTGTGACTTCAGGTTCCCATCACTGCTGCTTGGTGTAGTTGGAAAATGTAAGGAGAACAGGGGAAATGTCTTTTTCATGTGATTTCCAGGGCTGTCTCTGGTCAGAAAACCCAAGTAATTTACTTTTTCTCTTGCATGTAACTGAGTTTTTATCAAACCATTTCAGTCACATTAAGGACACATCAGCTGTGGTGCAGTTTTGGCAAATGTCTGGTGTCAAGCTTGGAATACTGATTTGAGCTCTTCCTTCTCTTTCTCTTTCAAGTGTTTGAGTCAGCTCCCGACATAGCCACAGGTTTGTTCAAGTATAAATGAAAGTCCTGCCTGTTGTGGAGTGTGGGAAGGGACAGCAAGTGTAGCAATAGCTTCAAACCAAGCATTCTGTGCCTGAGCCACAGCCCCAGAATGAGTGTGAGGACTTGAGTACATGTCTGAATTTGCTCGGTTTGGTGAAATTTACTAAGGGTGGAACTACGTTTTTCTCTTGCAATGAACTATCTGTTTCCATTGCTCTGTGCATTGTGTACACGTGTTTATCATTAAGTACAAGACCTTTTATACTCGTGCTACTAATTGGGTCTGTCTCAGATGTGAGTCTGTCTAATAGATAGATCTATTTTAGATGTGTTTCATTTCTTAGACCTGGGACTTCAAGGTAATACTTAGGATGTTCTTCTCACCCCCATGGCCCTGATGAAGACCAAGTAAATGAGCAATAACAAAATGGAAAGAATCTTGAGAATTTGTGTCTGTGGAGCTTGCTGGGTGTTTGAAGCAGGGAGTTATCTCCTTTGTGGGTGGATGCCCATCAGGAGCCACTTGAATGCTAATCATTCCAGGGGCCAATTTGCCAGCTGAGTTCCAAATGTACACGTAACACTTCTTGAGGTGTTGTTCTTAATGTATCTGCCTTAAGCAAGGCAACCTCAAATCGTGGAATGACACTGATGCCATTAACTGAATGTTGTATTTAAAAGCTGTTTACTCAAACTTTGTCAAGTCTGAAGTCATAGCTGGGTGCATATGGAATAGTTACTGGTAATGTTCCCTGTTGGAGTGTGTTGCTGTGGGAATGAGATCAAGAAAACATTAGGGGGTGGAATGTGGATACTAGGGAGAAAAAATGTGTAGGAGGGTAATACACAAATAGAGATTAGCAGAGTTATTTCCAAGCTTTGTCCAAGTGTGTTGGTATCCTGTGAAAAATAAAAATAAGAGCTAGATAGTCTAAAGCTAGATAGGGGTATCAAAAGCATTTGAGAGGAAAAAGTGCTTGAGACTGGAAGGTGTTACCTTA